AGCCCAGCAGAACAGGGGAATGGTGGCCCTACAATGTGAGAAGCATCGTAACAAGTTATATGCCAAGGGGACTTTCTCTTTCCTGGGAGCAATCCAAAGAGGCTTCAGAGAAGAGGTGGCATGTGAGCTTCCAAAGCAAGGGTGAGCAGAGGAGAAGTAGGTCGCCTGCTGTGAGAGAGCAGTCCAGGCTTGGGGAACAGCAAGTGCAAAAGACAACTTAGACTTTTTTCTTTCCTTACAGATGTGATGCACTTCCTCTTTGACTTTTAACCCCAAGAGTCAGCTCAGACCTTATTAAAGTCACCCAGCAGCCTCCTATGTGTGTTGTGTGTAGTCTTTGAGGATGTGGGTAGGGATGGAGGGGAAGGTCAGCTCCAGCGGTGGAAATGGGATGCTCCCAAAGCTAATGGAATGCCCTCAGAGGCACTGAGGCAGTTGTCTGGTGTGCAGCACAGGGAGTCCATGCTTTTTCTCGAAAGTAGGAAAAAAAACTCAACCCTTTTCAGAATCCTGGAGCTATTCTCATTCTACTGGGTTTTGAGAATAAACTTGGGAGGTGGTAGTTTATCTCAGCCAGCCCTGCTAACAGCCCAAGGAAGCACCATCCACTCATTTAGCATGCTATTTATTAAGTGACTACTATGTACTAAGCTCAGAGGATAGAATACAGGCCCTGTCCTCAGGGTCTAGGGCAATTTCGGCCCTGTGAAAAGTGCTGTAATGGTGGTAAGGGCACATGCTAAGACAGCATAGAAAGGAAGAATTTAACTCTGCCTATGAGTCCTGGAAGGAGCTCTAGTGGCATAATGCTAACCAGAAGGTTGGTGGTTGAAACCCACCAGCCCCTCCTCAGAAGGAAGATGAGGCAATCTACTTCCATAAAGATTTACCACCTCGGAAACCCGGTGGGCATCTCTATGAGTTGGAATTGATTCCATGGCAGTGAGTTTGGTTTTTTGGATGAGGCCTGGAAGGAGCTCTGGTGGCATAGTGAATAAAGCATCTGGCTACTAACCAGAAAGTCAGCAGTTCAACCAGATGCTCTGCAGAAGGAAGATGGGACAATCTACTTCTGTAAAGATTTATAGCCTTGGCAACCCATTAGGGGTCACTATGAGTCAGAAGTGACTCAGTGGCAGTGGGTTTTTTGGTACAAGGCCTGGAGCTGCTAACCAAAAGGTTGGTGGTTCAAACCAACTGCTCCGAGGGAGAAAGACGAGGCAGGCTGCTTCAGTAAAGATTACAGCCTTGGAAAGTCTATGCGGCAGTTCTACTCTGTCCTGTAGGGTTGCTATGAGTCGGGTTTGGTTTTAGTTTTATGAGGCCTAGAAAGAGCCCTGGTGCTAAACCAAAAGGCCAGTGTTTCAAACCCACCAGCCACTCAGTAGAAATCAGGGGCACATGACAAAGAGGCCTGGAAAACCAAAACCAAACATTTTAACAAGATTCGTAGGTGATTCTTATGTATACATTGTTAAGATGTAGATTCTGATTCAGTATATCTGGGCTGGAGATGCAAATCCTCAGCAGGTGTGTCAAACCAAAATGAAACAGTTTGAAGCCCTGTTGAAAGGCTTTAGGGAGAAGCTACCACCTTCCCGCCCCACCCCCCCGCAGCTGAAAGGTAATTTTAGTTTGACTTTTTATTAATTGAAAATTTTAGATGTACACAAAGTAGGTGGAATGGTATATTGCATGGAAAAACGAAATCATTTCCCACTTTTCTGACACCAGACTATAAGGATCAGTTCTGTTTGCCTCTGTGCCACTTCTGATTCCAGCTACACACGCAGCACTACTTCTCTGACCCTAACTACCCGAGCTAGGTCAGAACTCACCAGTTGAAAGTGCACAGTCTACCCAAGACCTCAGATACCAGCCACAAGGTTGGGAGTCCCCATGACATCCTCAATTCTGATCTGCTAGCTACAAATTCAAGGGTTCCTTCAGCTCCCTCGGGATATCAGATCAAGGGTCTCCAGCCCTCCTCACTTCTTACCTCCTGACTCCCCCTACTCCCTTGGGTTCAGTAATTCAATAGAATGACAGAACTCATGGAAAGTGTTATTACAGAAAAAAGAATACACATGAAGAGACCCACAGGCAACATCTGGGAGGGTTCCCAAAGCAGAACTTCATGTCCCAAAGAGGGACAAAACATGCTACCATGCCATATGCACTGATGTCTTAACAACCAGGAAGCCTTCCGTGTCCAGAACCTTTCTTGATGCCTCTTTGTGTGTGCAGGCGAGTGGATTCTGACTCAGCAACCCTACAGGCCTCGTTACATAGGCATAGTTGAGTGAACTCAACCTTCAGCCCCTCCTCCCCTGAGGCCTGCTGATATCATAGGATAGGTCTTCAGGCCTCGCCAATTTCTACCCAAGAGGTCTCTCATAGCCATAAACCCTCAGATGTGGTCAGGAGCCCTCATCAAAGACAATTCAATCTCTGGAAATTCCAAAGTTTTAGAGGTTTTATCTAAGGAACCAATGACAAAGATCAAATTCTTTGGGTTAATTTAACCCCACAAAAATGAACCCCCAGAAATCTGTCCTCCAACTTCATCAACTCATGACCAAACTAATTTAATCAATACTTCACCCATTCCCCTTCTCTGGATTATTTTAAAGCAATTCCTAGAACATAAGTTCTTCTTTAAAAGGTAAGGACTTTTTTTCCTTTTAAATACCAAACCAAAAACCAGACTCACTGCCATCAAGTTGATTCCAACTCATAGCCACCGCCTTTGGGTTTCCAAGGTGGTAAATCTTTTTTTTTTTTTTTTTAATTTAATTCTAATATTTCATATATGTACAAGCAGTCCTCAGATTATAAACCTCTGGTTTACAATCCATAGTTACAAACCTGTGGTAGTTATGTTTGTATGTCAGCTTGGCTAGGCCTGGTTGAGTGGCTGGGCAGCTGGATGTAGTATTCCCCATGATGAGACTGGTAATCAACTCCATGGTGGAATCTACTGTTAGCAGCTGAGTAGCTGCCTTTGGGTATGTGGTCTGCTTCCTGTATATAAGGAGAAGCCTTGGGACTGGTCTCTAGCCTAGGGCACGCTTGGACCCTGCATGTAGCCGTGTCGTTGCTCAGTAGCCTGCTATGCTCTGCGGACCTGGGGACTTACAATGGACTTAAGTTAATGGCCTGCCATATGGATTGGTAACATCGGAACTGTGCCTTTTTACTTGTTAACTTGGGGCTTCTCAGCCTCAGCAGCCAGCAGCTATCTGAGTGAAGAAACACCTCTAGCTCCAGTGGGCCAGAAGCAGGAGGCAGAGTTGGACTGCAAGGTTGAGGGGCTTTCACCCAGTCCCTAGAGCCTGGCACTTTGAACTCGGACTTAAAGCCCCCAAATTGTAAGAATAAATTCCTGTTTGTTAAGGCCATCCCATTTGTGGTATATTTCCTGTTAGAGTGGCACTAGGTAACCAGAACAGAACTAATCTCTGTCTGTCTTTCCTTCAGTGCAGATCCAGAGATCATGCATGGGGTGCATGTAATTGGCCAAGTGGTGTCCTACCTCACCCTTGACTCATCTGGCAGCAGTCAGCAGGAGTTCCCTGCACCGGCTTGGCCCCAGAACCCAAGGCATCCACTGGAACTGAGCTGGGAGGCAATGGTGGCACACAGGGCATTCAGGGTGGGCAACAGTGCAGCACATCCACAGTGGCCCCTGAGCAGGTGCAGGCTCTACCTGGGACTGCTGAGGTGCTAGGCTCAGTTTTGCTCAGCACCATTCTCCTGGGCACTGATTCAGCAGCATCTGCAAAGTGTAACTGTGTGGTGACCCCACACTCAGACCTGGACCCCCGCTGTCCTCAGCCCCAGCCCAGACTTAGTCAGGTGTACAGTCTCATGCCATGCAGCCCAAACTGGGCACCAGGCTCCCAGTAAAGGTGGGGAGGGAGAGGAATTCACTCAAAGACAGATTTAGGAAGAGAACTTGTTTGTAATATGGGGACTGCCTGTATTTATCTTTTTTGACATGGGTCAATGCATTTTTTTTTTTTTTTTTTTTGCAGTGTTCCCTCCCCTCCCATCCCACCACTGGAAACCAACAAAGAAAGTTTCCCTCCATATACAAACCTTTCCTTGACCCTCCACAACAACAAACTAATACTATATTTGTCCTTCTGTGATTGACTTATTTCAGTTAGCATAATGTCCTCCAAGTTCATCCATATTATGCAGTGTTTTGCAGACTCCACATTATTCTTTAGTGCTGCATAGCATTCCAGTATGTGTATGTACCATAGTTTGGTCATCCACTCTTCTGCTGATGGGCCTGTAGGTTGTTTCCATCTTTTTGCTACTGTAAATAGTGCTGTGATGAACATGAGCATGCATATATCTATTCCTATCCTGGCTCTCACCTCTCTAGGATATATACCTAGTAATGGGATTGCTGGGTCAAATGGATCTCTAATTCCAACTTTCTAAGGAATCACCATATTGCTTTCCACAGTGGTTGTGTCGCTTCACAGTCACACAGTGTATGAGAGGCCCAATCTCTCCACATTCCCACCAACATTTGTTATTTTCTGTCTCATTGAACCTTGTCATCAGTGCTGAGGTGAGATGGTATATCTCATTGTTGTTTTGATTTATATCTCCCTGATGGCCAATGATTGTGAGCATCTTTTCATGTATTAGCTGACCACCTGAATATCCTCCTTGGTGAAGTATCTATTCATGTCTTCTGCCCATTT